GGGGGTTTCCGGCTCCTTCTGTACTTACAAAAATGGTTGTAAGTGCGGGGAGTCATAACTCAGGTTGTCGGAAGTCGGGGGTTTCCTGCACTGCTTGGATTCTGCAAGGATTACTGGGCATAAGCCAAAGATCCCCAATGCTTAGCCTGTGTTAATCCTATTAGAGAGTGTTTTCTTATTATAAAAGGTTCTATTACTTTTTTTTTTTTTTAAACTTACAATAGGAACTGCTCTGTGCAAAGGGGCTGACAGAACTGCCAGGCCCCTGGGCAAGATGTGGCGGATCTGGCTCCGCAATCCTGAAAGGGGTGGGGCTCCGGGTGGACGGGGCAAGATGGGGATGGGGCAGCCAGCCCTAAGTGCCACGCCGCACCCCACCTCACCTACCCTCAAAGCTGCCTGGAGCATGCTGCCTGGTGTTCCAGTGGCAATTTAAAGGGCCCAGGGCTCCAATTGCTGCTGCCTATCCAAGCCCTGGGTATTATGAATTGCCGGGTCATGTGGCATTTGCCCTCTTTGCCGCCCTTTATTGACAGGCCTGTATCTGTTTAACTGCTTTAACCTAGTAAAGAACTCTCATTTCCTCTTCCTATACAACAAACCTTTAGATAATTTATTATAAAATTGGCCACAAGTCTTATCTTCAGTGTGAGATTTAAAGTGTATGTGTGCTGGGGCTGGAGTAACCAGAATATTGCTAAAATATGGTGTAAAGAATCATCTATCCCAAATACAGGCTTACCAAGCTGGTAAAACCCAATGGCTTCATCTAGACTGGCATGATTTTCCGCAAAAGCAGCTGCTTTTCCGGAAAAACTTGCCAGCTGTCTATGCTGGCCACTTGAATTTCCACAAGAACACTGACTTCCTACTGTCTGAAATCAGTGCTTCTTGCGGAAATACTATGCTGCTCCCGTTTGGGCAAAAGTCCTTTTGCGCAAAGCTTTTGTGCAAAAGGGCCAGTGTAGACAGCTCAGATTTGTTTTGCGCAAAAAAGCCCCGATCGTTGCCCAAACGGGAGCAGCATAGTATTTCCGCAAGAAGCACTGATTTCAGACAGTAGGAAGTCAGTGTTCTTGTGGAAATTCAAGTGGCCAGCATAGACAGCTGGCAAGTTTTTCCGGAAAAGCAGCTGCTTTTGCGGAAAATCATGCCAGTCTAGACACAGCCAATTGGAATAGTCTGGGGGAGACGGGGGAGGGGGCTGTGTGTGACTCCATGTTTAGGCTGCTATAGTGCCTGTGGGGTTGGTGCCCTGTCTCTGACCAACCTGCCCTGAGACCAGTACTAACTCCTGAGTCACTGCAGGAAAGCTTGACGCCAATAATACCATTTTCACCCATCGCTTCATGCTATCACCAATTAGCATGAAAGACCGTAAGCCGACGTGCAGTTGAAAATGTTCACACAAAGTTTCTTCCTTAAAAAAAACAAAAAAACAATTGGACTGTTTTCAATAAGCAAAACTTTTTATGAAAATGTGGCTACATTATAAAAACTTTGCATTATTCTTTTTTATCATAATTTTTGCAATTTCCATTTCTATCCATCATATGAAGAAAATATTTAGCAAAATTGTTTCTGTACTGAACCAAAAATCCAGTTTTATTTGCCAAAATATTTCAATAAAAATTATTAAAATGTTATGGAAAAGGAAGCATTGCATGGGTCTATAAAAGCGATGTACATTTTGAACCCAGAAAATAGGAACAGTTTTGAAATTTTTGTAAAATCATTTCCCTGTTTTTATATCAGCTGTACAACCCCTCCAGTAAAAGGGTAGGGAAGTGTATTGTATAAATAAAATTTCTGATTACTTTTCTTTTTTGTAAACATGTGAAGATACAGAAGTTTGATGGTTGCAGCTGACATCTTCCCCAAAGCCCCATGTAAAATAGTGAATTCATCTGGAGACATTTCAGTATTAAAAGCATAAATATTGACTGATACAAATCTAGCAAAGACAAAATTTCATAGCATCGCTTAAGTGTATTGTATAAATAAAATTTCTGATTACTTTTCTTTTTTGTAAACATGTGAAGATACAGAAGTTTGATGGTTGCAGCTGACATCTTCCCCAAAGCCCCATGTAAAATAGTGAATTCATCTGGAGACATTTCAGTATTAAAAGCATAAATATTGACTGATACAAATCTAGCAAAGACAAAATTTCATAGCATCGCTTATGCTTTGATATTATAGCACTTAAGCCATGTAGTGACATATCTAACACAGCAACACCCAGACACAGTGAGGTGAGCGTTAGCAGAATTTCCTTACTTTTGTGGGTTTGTCAGCCACTAAATGTGTTTGAGGTTTTTTGCTCTTGTTTTCAAAACTTCCTGTAATTCTTTTAATGCCTCTGGTACCTGGATTATGGAGAGTAAGTATCATCTTCAGCATTATCCAGGTCCAGAAAAAATACCCACTGTAGAACATTAAAAGGCTATTTTTACCTCCTACCAATGCTTGAGTAGGTTGATACTCCTTATGCGTCATACAGCTAGTCAAAATTTCTATCCTTTTTTTAAAATGAAAAATAGCATTTTTTCTAAAAAAGCAGCAAATTTGAGGGGGAGGAATTTAATTAAAAACTGAAAATCCAACATCTTTTGACACTGAAAATGCCAAATTGGATATTCATTTAGTGTTCTCCCCCTCCCAGGCTCCCTCCCTCCCTCTCCCCCCCGGTAGCAAAACAGAAAAAAAAGAGAAAAGGGGTAAAGGAAAGAATAATCGCAAAAACTTGGACTTTTTAATAAAAAAATTGAGAACATGGAAATTTTTCGCAAAACATTTTTGACCATCTCTGTTGAGAGAATGAGGCGAAAAGAATAAACAACCAATTCATGCAAGGCCCCGTCTGAAACCTCTTGAACTTGAAACCACTGAATTGGGCCTACAGTTAGGGTGACCAAATCTCCCACTTTGGCAGGGACAGTCCCTTTGGAAGCCCTCTCCTGGCCATTCTGACTTTTTATTTTGCAGAACTGGGCATTTGTCCCTTTTACTTTTGGCAACTGGTCATTGGCTCACAAGAGAAAACTGGACAAACAGCCAGTTAAAAATTTTTTAAAAGTGGGACATGACCCCTAGCTGAGTGTGGAGGAACATGCAGTGGTGAGAGAGGGGACAAGCAGCATCACTAGCCCTGCACAGGACAAAGGGCTCAGGAGTAGGGTTGTCAGATACTTTCACAAAAAATCCTGA